CTAGAAACTTTCGTTGATGCGTCTGTCCGTGCATGCGTGTGTGTGTGTGTGTGTGTGCGTGTGCGTGTGCGTGTGCGTGTGCGTGTGCGTGTGCGTGTGCGTGTGCGTGTGCGTGTGGGTGTGTGTGTGTGTGCGCGTGTGCGTGCGTGTGTGTGTGTGTGCGCGTGTGCGTGTGCGTGCGTGTGTGTGTGTGTTTGATTTTTGTGTGTGTGTGTGTGCGTGGTTTGCGCTTCGGGCTTTAGGATCCAGGGCCATCAACTCATTAACTAGGTACGCTCACAACCTGAAGCCGTAAAACTTTCAAGTACAGGCCACGATAGCGCTGGCGGAGACTATCGCAGACATCGCTGACGGCAGGGTGGCACCTGCGAGCCTCGTCCAATGAATGCCCCCACACTGCTCAAGAGCACATGTGGACTTCAAAGACTAAGGGGGTCCCGCTTCGTGCTTACAATGAGGCACTCGTGACATACGGTCTGTATCTATATTGTGAGCTCCCTACTCATAATTACTTCTGTTCATGGACCTTTTCGGGCTTTTAGGCTTAGCTTAGGGTTCACGGGCTCTGCAGCTAGTGATGGATGAAATTTTGAGCTTGGGCTTGAAGGGTTAAGAGTTAAGAGGGGTTAAAGTTGATTAAAGGCATTAAGTGCCTCGGGGCGTTGTCTTTTCTATTCAGGTGAGGCAGAATTGTAGCACACTGGTTTGCTATTGGAAAAATAAGCGGGTTTGGAGGACTTGGAGGAGTTTTCGAGAAGAGGCGTCAACACTTGCGGGTGTACGGCTGTGGTGACAATTACAGTTAGGACTGATTACCTGAAGTAACTCTCAACAGGAATCCGCAAACATGGAATCGTTCAGCCAACAAGCACTCAGAAAGCCCACGCACGGCTTGTGAGGGGAAGCTTAGGGCCTCACTTTGGAATCTCAGGCTTAAAGATGAGATCAGTGCTACTACGACCAGACTAACCCTGGATCACAATTTGGGGCTTGCTTGAACCACTAAGTTGCAGGCATAAATCCCTGCGACCATGAAACCTACCCGTAGATGCCGTCAAGCCTTGAGGCCCTACAAGACCCCAAAACTTGGTTAAAGTTCCAAAAGCGTAGAGAGCTCATCATATCTGAATAGAAGCCTTGATTTTCAGCCTTATAAAACCCTTTGCATGCCCTATAAAGTGGCGCACAGGAGTTCATCGAGCAAAATGTTGCTGGGTACAAAGAACGTGTGACGTGGCTGCAGCACGGGTCGAGGGGGGTAAGGATGGGTTGGAGTTTTGGAACTTGCTCCAAGCGGTACCATAACACTAGGGGGTTGTTACCGTAGTGGGTAAAGAGGTTTTGGATCATTTGCCCGTAGCGCACCCGGGTGCGCACCTTGCAGTTACTGCCGCTGTACTACGGTGCTCATGTTCGCTGCTTTCCACAGTCTCGCCGTGGGCTTGCCAGTTCTTTGAAGCTCCAAAAGGTATAATCCTTGGCTTCATATTTGCTATCGCATCGCCCGAAAATGTCGACAGTTCTAGCAGGGCTATTGGGGTGCCCTCATTGAAGTGCCTCCAATCCTAGCAGGGCCACACTATGCAATTTCGCGGGGATCATTCGTGAGGTCTCCTAATACCATGATCACAGCACTGGGAGGAAAGATTTGGAGGGTGGTGCTTTCCGTTTTGCTTCCAGCTCCACGGTCCCCTCGCGGTGGTGGTTGCGGTAGCGGCGGTGATGGCGATGTTCCGATGATGCGGCAGTCTGGTGGTCTTTGTCGTCGCGGTGGTTGTGGTCGTCGCGATGGTCCTGGTAGTCGTGGTTATCATAGTCGTCATTCTGCTCGTGGTCGTCGTGATCTCTTCTGGGTGTGGTCTTTGACTGTTGGCAGATCTACGCTTGCGTACTTAGTATTATTTGACATTGTTCACCACAGGGTTTCACAACAGTTGAACGTCGTCTTGTACGCTAATGGAGACTTTATGACTTGCACGGTTACGGACACGTTTCTATACGCCAGCTCACTTTATTTAAGGTTCCGTGCCACCAGGGTCTGTTTCGGCGTCCCCCATATGTTCTGAAATGCCCGAACCTGCAGGCTTGGAGGGAGTAAATTGACTAAATAAGACCGATGTTTTGGGCTTGCCTGCAGCCAGTAACTATCCCTTATAAAGGTATTTAGAAGCAAGTTTATTTTGCTGTTACTTTTATCCCTGAAAAACCGCTTAAACCACAATTTTTGCAAGGGTGGCAAGTTCAATATAGATTCGCGAACATGCCTTGTGGTCGTCACCTCAGACCGCTTTCCCTCACGTCACTTCACGACGTGTACAGCCTGTGCGAAACCTACACGAAGTGATGCCTTCTCTACTAGTCTGTCTCTCTGTTTGTGTGTGTGTGTGTGCGCATGTCTCAGTCTTTGTGTTTGCGTGTACGCATGCAGGCACGCAGAGCCGACGCAGCAGGACCAGCTGCTTGCACAGGAGGACAGGCGGCCTTCACGGCTCCCAGCGAACCCGGTTCCACCACTGGCTGCTGGCCACGTTACCGTGGAGGCTTCCCAGCTGGAAGCTCCCCCTTCGGCACAGCATTCTGCATCCGCGCAAATTGGGGCCAAGAAGGAGGAGCAGATGCTCACACAGGAGGAGAGACGGCCTTCACGTCTCCAGGCGAATCGGGATCCACTGGCTGCGGGCAACGCTTCAGTGGAGGAGGCTTCGCAGTTGGACCTTCTTCCTTCGGCACAACCGTCTGCATCCACATCCAGACACACAGAGACCAAGAAGAAGGGGCAGATGCTCGAACAGGAGGAGAGGCGCCCCTCACGTCTCCAGGCGAAACAGGATCCACTGGCTGTCAGCGTGCCAGTGGAGGCTTCCCAGCTGGAAATTCCTCCGTCGGCACAGCCATCTGCGTCCATGCACATGGAGGCCAAGAAGGAGGAGCAGATGCTCACACGGGAGGAGAGGCGGCCTTCACGTCTCCAGGCTGTTAGTGCTTCAGCAGAGGAGCTGGAAACTGCCCTTTCGGCACAGCCATCTGCATCCAGGCTGCTTGCACAGGAGGAAAGGCGGCCATCACACCTGCTCGCGAAGCAGGATCCATTGTCTTCTGGCAACATTCCCGTGCAGGAGGATTCCCAGCTGGAAATTCCGCCGTCGGCAGAGCCATCTGGGCCCACGAACATAGAAGCCAAGAAGGAGGAGCATATGCTCGCGCAGGACGAGAGACGGCCTTCACGTCTCCAGGCGAATCGGGATCCACTGGCTGCTGGCAACGCTTCAGCGGAGGAGGCTTCGCAGTTGGACCTGCTTCCTTCCGCACAGTCTTTTGCATCCAGATCCAGGCACATAGACATAGAGACCAAGAAGGAGGAGCAGGTGCACGCACGGGAGGAGAGGCGGCTTCCATCTTCCCAGGCAGAACAGGATCCACTGGTTGTTGGGGACATTCCTTTGGAGGTGGCTACCGAGCTGGAGACTCCACCGAGGCGACCCTCGATGCACGCAGTGAACCTTGGTGATGAGACGTCCTGGAAGGCCACCGGTGCTCCATGTCGACCTCCCCAAACCACTCTTCTCAAGATGTCCAATAACATTGAGATGCTGCCGGAACCTCGCAACACAGCCTCTACTCAAGGCTTTGCTAAAGGACTCGACGCCTTGGAGGCGCAGGAGGAGGGTTTGGCAGACACCACCGGCCTCTTCCGCAGCCGTCCCAATCATAAAAACAGTGATCAGCATCGAGGTTGCTGTGACGTCCAGCCTGCGAAGGCCAGCAAGCGGCAGTCTGCAAAGCCATCCAAGATGGACCTAGGACCATCTTTCTACACCCGAAATCCCCTAAACTTGAATCCTGTACCTCCGAGACCCCAGACTCTCAACCCTATGCAAACATGTAAAGCCTGGAGGCAGTGCGGCCTGCAGTCTTCACTGAAGCAAACTTCGTCGAACCAGCGAGCTCTCGTCAAGGCCCTAAGTCCTTTGCCGCGCACACTGGGCCAAAGGAAGACGAGGTGGCCAGGGACGCTTGCCTTCGAGTGACGGCATGGCGGTCGTAGAGGAGAGTGGGGGTTTAGTAGCGAAGGAATCGAGGGGTGCTACAGACAGCTGTGGCTGTGCCTTGTGTACTGGATGACTACATGACTACATGCATTGCTGGTTGTGGGCCCGTAGTTGTTGACGTGAGATATACTGCCTGTGGTCCAGTTCTTTGGTGTATGCGGACAGGACACACCAAGACAGGGAGCGGTTAAGAATTGTTGTAAGCCTCATGGGGATCTTGGGTAACCTTCATGGATGGAAGAAGGTGAACAGATCCTGGGAACGGTAGGCTTGGGCGTTACTGGCACATATCTCGCGCAAGAGACCATGTCTATATCTTGCGGAATGCATCTCATACGATCTCAGAGCATGCCCGCGATTCATCCCCTTGCGTAAGGAATATTCCATGAAGTAGAGTAGGAATCCAGGAATCCATGCCAGGCAACGGAAGCTGCATTTAAGCTTACCCCTGTACGCAACCTCTTCGGAGTCAGCCTGCGCCTAAGGAGAAAGCTGCCGAACAGAGAGCACCAGAGGCAGTGCAGCCCACGTTCGTCACCGAACCCGGCACATTGCACTTCACCAGCCTGCATCTGGATGGCAGAATTCCGTGCTCAGATGCTTAGTTTCCAATGCCCAGCGTTTAGTTTTTGTAGAAGAGTCCAAGTTCTGAATTAGTCCTAAACCGTATAGATGTTAAAGATTCTTAACATTATTTAACATTCGTGTAATTCCGGAACTGTACGCCCCGTTTATGTTCGTTCGCTTGGGTTTTGTGGAGAACTGAGGATGGTTCCTGGCAAGAGCCTGATCTTCCTGAATTTTGTCCTACACATCCTCTCTCCACGGCTCTTGGGCACTGTAGTTCATTCTCTTTGCTGTTTCGTGACTTATATGTTCAGGTTTGCTAGCTGGTTTTGGAGTATGGTTTCGTTTATAGGGGAGTTGGCCCTACTCCGTTTCTCCGTTTCTGAGGGGAGCAGAGCTTCGCCGGCATCGCAGCGCAAGAAGCCGTCACAGCCGTCGGAGCACCAACCGATCCGTGCTCGGCCTCGCCCGGACCAGGCGCTTGCAAACCGGGGGCGACGCCGGGGGGGGGGGGGGGGGGGGGNNGGCTGGGGGTTTAGGGTTCGAGTATTCCCAAACATGGCATCACTAACTTTTACAGGAAGACAAGGAAGGCAGATGAACTTGGGACTGATTCTTTTTTGTTATTGGTTTGTGCTGCTTTGCGCTTGTTCAATCCGATAGAGTAGAAGCCTAAATACTACAATTGAGCAAGAGCTTCTTCCGTCTCAGCACGGTGCTTCGAAAGCGCTTCTTTCGAGCGATATTCGTGCACCACCGTTCCCTCACGTTGCCTACATGGCTCCAGTGTTGCTGGCGGGATTGCTTTGCTAAATAGGGCTTTCGCAGCATGAGAGCCCCTAGTATAGAATTCAAAATGCCAGGATCTTTATCATAAGTACCTGTAAAGTTTTCAAAGCCCCCCAAATGTCTGTCAGATACTGGTTTCACCTAGTTCACTGGACTGCCCTCTTGCCAACCCCCGACATGCCTGCTTACACGGATTCTGCCATTCTGCGAGCCTATGTTTTTAAGGTGTGATATGGGGGGGGGGGGTGTTGGTAGGCTTGGAGCAGTACCCCTAAAGTCAGGTATGCGTTCAGGTAAAGGGCGCCTTAACATTTTGGGCTTCGTCTTACAATTTCAGAGCCGTCCTAGTCCCTCTGGGAAGGGCAGCCTTGCAGCCTGCAGATGCTTCCGCCATAGGCCCAAGAAGAATTCCGTGGTGTCATGCCGGCCGCCCAACAGCAGCCACCGGGCTAACAGTACGTTTTTGTTTGAGGAACATACCATATAGTGCTCCTTGACTTGGTATCATGTGGGGTGTATGGTGTTGGACTGTCTCGGGTTATGGGTATAAAGCGGATGAGAATGTTCGGGCTTTGCGCATGCTCACATTGTGCATTGGAATGACGAAGCGGAGGACAGTAAGGGGTTTCAGAGAATAAGACTCCAAGGCGCGCGCAACTCATCAAGAAGGTTCCCTGCCTGTCAGAAACCTTCCTAGCACAAGTCGAAAATGAATACTTACCCATGATAGTTCGTGTACCAAGACTGGGAATATCAACACACATGACATAAGCAGTAGTGTTCGCACGAGCAGCAGTGCTAGTAGTCGCCTTCGAGTTGTTCGGGACGTGTAACTGTTGCTGCGCGATGGAGAAACGTGTTTTTTTTCTGTCACACGCCCAACCCGGCCCAACCCTGTTTGGTATTCCTGCTGTCTGTGCAAGAAACAAAAGCGGCAGCAAATCCAGAGAAACGCTTTTCGGAACCCCTTAGCCCGAAATCCTAGCCTGAAACCCGTAACCCATTCTAGAACCCTTTCAAGCTCGTTGGAGCACCTTCAGAGCACCTTCATACACCGTCTGGAACCCCTATTTAAAAGAATCCGATCAAACCCTTGGAAAATCCCAGGACAGCCTGGCAAACCCGTTAGAAAATAGATCAAGGCCAACCTCGGAGTCGCCTCGCGTCGAGACGCCGGACCAGTCAGCTGCACCCTTCCTATTCAGCGCCTTTGGGGACTTGAGGGCTTCGCGTGTTTGGGGCTGAGGACAAAGGTGGGGGGCTGGGTTGTGTTAAAGGCATTTGCTGTCTTCTGAAGTCATCAAGGAGAAAATCGGCGTACCCAAGCGTTTGCGCCCCTTTTGGCAGTTCTAGGTTTAATAAGGTCTTGAAAAGGGCTCATGAAGGCTGCATTGCGGCGCTTGTAGTTTCTTATACGGGCTTGATCATATTGGAGCATTTTCCGGACTTTACAGAGTCTTATTTTGGCTTCACAAGGGTTTTAAACCCGAAGCAGATACTAGTACCCTATCTTTCCTATGCCAGGCCGGGGTCAGAGCTGAGGCCCTACACCCCAAACCCTCTACGAGGTCTGGACCCCAGATTGATTTGGAACCTAAGTAGAGGCGACTGTTAGCTTGACAATCTGTGGTTAAAGTTTAAGGTAGGCCATGGGCACCCCTTGTGTTTATCATCCTGTTTCAGTAGAAGAAGTGTTTTGGGGGGTCTATGGCTGAGGCATTAGAGGCTACCCTACTCCAGAATCTGTGGGTTTTATTGGTTTAGGCTTACCGTTTATCGGGCAACTTCCCCAACCCTGCCCTGGGTTGAGGTTTACGCTTTGAGGGCTTGGAGGAAGTAGACCTTCGAGTTGGGGGATCAGCTTGGGATGAGACATGGGGCTTAAATGGTTAGAGCAGGGTTTTCGGGTTCAGTATACAGTATCTATACACGGGACCCCATCCAAGAGAAGACTTTTGCTAAGGTCAAGGTGTTGCAACCGAAACCGAAAGCTGCAAACTACCCTGAACCTATTCCCTATAGCAATTGAAATCGAAACCTTCAAACCCTGAGCCCTGTTCCCTAGCCTAAATCCCTCAAGCCCTAAACCTAGAAGCTAGAAGCGGAGCTCCTGGTCTAGCCTCTACAGCTTCGGCCGTTCGTAAGCCTTAATCGGAAAGCCACACGTGCTGTTCATGAGAGAAATCTTGCAAGCAACATAGCAAGGAATATAAGTCAAATAGTTTAGGATCCTTGAGTATTGGGATGATGCAGGGTTTGCCCGACAACAGTAGGCTTCAGCAGAGGCACGTGCAGTCTGCTCCAGGGCAATGCGAGTCCGTGACCCAGTGAAGGGATCGCCTTTGGAATGTTGCAGGTTTTAGAAGAGGGTCGCAAGTTTAGGTTAAGTGACCTTTGCATGAAGAGGATGATTCTTGCCGCTTGTATTATTGACAAACTTCTTGCCAGTTCTCCCCGGATTCGTATTGGGCGTGTTCTCGGGGCAGTTGCAATGATGCGTCTACAGTGGGAACTGTTAGAGGCCACTGATTTATGTGCAGCTTCGTTCTTGTCCGGTGGTTGACGAGCATTATAAATAAAACTCCAATATCACTGGACTCCGTGAGGCAAAGGGATCTTTATTCAAGTTTTCTGTATCAAACTTAGGACTTCGCCCGTGAGGCTGGCAAGCCCCACAATGCCACATCTAACTGCCTCGGCCGGGCGTCTTTCTGCACTTGCTTTGGCTAAAAGCTCTAAAGCCCTGGACACTTCAGCTGATCAGGCAATCGAGCTTTCGTTGTGCTGTGTAGAGGCATGCCTCAACCGGGTTATGCACAACTTGCTGAAACGGTGGAACCGTTAGTTTAATTGTTGCCATAAACCTGGCAGCAGTGCCTGTACTTTGAGCGATGCAAGGGGTCCTAGCGTGGCACCTTCCCGGGGCTCAGGCTAGGGCACGATTAGGGCCTTTCTGAAAGCAAAGTGCCGGAAACGCAATTTCCACATCATCATGATCGTCCGGCACCCTAAAGCACCAACTCCAAACCGGACAGAGCAAGTGCTTCTGCCTAGGTCTTCTGTGCCCTTGCAAGTGGCAAAGCAAGCGAGGCCCAGAAACCTCGCATTTGCAACCATGAATGCCGACTGTCGTGGGTTTAGGTTTCAGTATGTTTCATGTGCTAGGATCAAGCTCTGAACCTAGACCTAGATAATGTGCCATGGTTTAGAGTCTAGGCGCACCGAACAACTGGCAGCCCGATCTTAGCCTGAGCCGCCCCTCCATACCCATGAATCCACGAACTAGCGTGGCCCAAAACAGAGATGATTGAAATTATCCAATCACAGACTAGCTTGGATCGTCCTTGGGGCAGTTGGAAGTAAGGCTATTGCCTAAGTGTCTGAATCGAGGCCAAAGCATCTACAGCCTGCCCTATTGCTCCATTTACAACTACTGTACCATGATCCTCCAAGTGCCGGAAGGCCTCAAGGATTCTAGGAGGGTCTTCCAGACCACCGATCAAGTTCGACGGCAGACACAGCCACGGCAACAGCGACATCTGAAGGAGAGACGTGCCTTGCTGTGTTTAGGGTTTAGGTTTGGGGTTTCGGGCTTTCGGGGTTCGGGGTTAGGGCTCAGGGTTTATTCATCGTAGCAGGCAAAAATTAGGTTTCATGTGGCTTGGTGGAGTTTTCTCCATGGTTGTCTAAGGGTTCTGGGTTTAGGGCTTGGGATTGAGAAAATGGTGGCATGGTCGGGGCCGGAGGGGAATCGCGCTTCAGGTCAAGCGGATGAATGGGTTTCGGTCAGCAAGTCTGGGTTCTTGTTGAGGAAGTTGGTTTGAGCTACTAGGACGAGGTGGAACTTTAATTTTTACAGATACCCGGGGCTCGGGTCTTGCTACCTTCTTGCTATCTTAGCTCCGATGGTATTTTTGTGCGCGCATCGAGCCCCGATGTGCCCTGATTCAAAGTACCGTATGTCTAGGCTCACAGTGGCTCACAGATGCCCATTGGCTCGTTAGCGAGACTAATTAGCTATCCACAAGAAGGACCAGAGTAGGAAATCTCAATCCAACCTCAAGGCCTAAAGCCCCAAGCCCCAAAGCCCGACACCTTCGCTTCTTCCCGCATTTGGCTTGAAGCAGCGCCAAAGCTCCTAGCGGAGCAAAGGGTCTCCACAAGGAACCGCTGATAGAGCGAGGCAGCAGTTCGGTTTTTCACGGTTTTTTGATTTGACCTAGGGTGTCAAAGGGCTCAGCTTTGTGAGTGCTTGTTTCACTGAGGAACTTGAGGGAGTAAGCAGCAGTGTTCCTGCCTTGGACATGACTCTTCAAGCATTTCGGCGCAAGCGCCTGCTCGCATACGCGGCGTGGATATATTCGATGGAAAAGACCTTCTGCCTTCTTGGAGGCTATCTGCTCGCTCCTCCACCTGCTGTGCCAGACGTGCAGAAGTCTTCTCCAAACACCCTGCTAGCTGGAGATGTTGATGTACCACATATTGCTCTTGCAGCTTTCGAATACTCAGTGGCTCCCTACCGCAACAAGCTGAAGCGTATCGTCGAAGAGCTTGGGGTCCGAAAAGACCAGGAAGTAGACGAGCAGATGAAGTCCGCCTTCTCCCGCATTGAAAGACAGGTGGGCTATGTTATAGCTCAATGGGACCGGTTCATAGAACAGTGTAAGACTTATGCCATCAAGGCAGTCGATTCTCCGGAGGGCAGAACTTTCGTAATGGAATCATGGCACGAGAGCCTCGGTTCTTCTTAAGGTAATTTTTTAATTCAAGTTATCATGGTGTATTTTTCTTTTGTACTTAACTTTTTAAAGTTGATTTCACTTGCAACAACCTAGGAGCCATCTGCACAGTTTCGAAGATGAGGTGGATCAGCTACATGAGGATTGGAAGAACGACTCTCTGGCCGAGTGGCTACGCAAGATTGACAGCATCTGAAGACATCTCTTCACACAGATGGCAGCACCCACGACTCGCACTACGACCGGAGCACATGCATGCTCCATTTACAAAGCCGCCGATGTTTGCTTTTGAGCCATTGCTACAGCACAGCCAGGGGCACTTGTATAGTTACTTCAGTGTTTTAAGTGGTCTCTCCCGCAGTTTGTGCCACGACTTGACCCTAGAGCCGAAAGCATGCGCTCACATCCTGAAGCCTTGAAGTTTAAAAGCTCAATCCCTAAATCACAGTCCTTGTGCCTGGAAGTTTAAATCCCACAGCCGCCTATAGTGTAAATCCTACATCCTGAACGTTAGCGCTCCGCTCAAAGGTTAAAGAAGGGGAAACAGAACACCAACCAAAGAGGCCACAGTGTAGATGCCTACCAGAGCACCAAGCCCTGGACCCCACTCTCCGTCCCTGGCCCTGTGGCTTCGGAGTTCCAGGGAAGAAGGGATTTGAGGGCTTTGTAGTAGGCTTCAGTTTTCAGGCTTTGGGATTGAGCTTGGTTTTGTTGCCTCAAGGCGTGCACGCCCTCTCGCCTCTCTTCTTGGTTCAAAGTTTCTGGATTTGGGAAGTGCGGGTTGGCATTTGTGGTTTGGCGATTTGGGGTTTCAGTGTTTGGGGATGATGATCTCCCGCCATCAGGAGATGCAGAACTACCTGGCTCACATCGCGGTCTTCAACCTATCCATGGGGTCTACCAGCAAAAGACGACTGGTTCGCCTAGAACTGAAACCGAACTAGACGAGACTCACCGCGGCAAAGTGATTCAAAGAAGATGACCCAAGCCCTACTACACCGCACACCCTCAATCGCCAAGGCAACTTCGCTCTCTCGATTGGTACATAGCAGCCTTGTTGGTTTCCAGTTTCTCTGCCTAGTGTACAGACGGTTTGGAGCAGACGGGGTTCTGGATGCTGAGCCAGCCAGTGGCCAACTGTACAAGGACTATGCAATGATAGAAGTAACAAACAAAGCGACTGTTGCAGCGTGTGGCATCACACAAGGCAAAGTGGAGCCACAGCCTGGGAAGCAAGCATCATTTCAGCAACAGCACTACTCTGTGCAAAGCAGTCTTTGCGTTCGTTGCCGATAAAAGTCGATACAGATGACAATTACAGTAGCTGCTTAGTAAAGCGCATAGCAGCCGCGTAGGACATATCCACGTATTGGCTGGCACAGGGGAACCTCAAGCACAAGCGCGGAGGTCGAAACGCTGAATGCCAAACCCAAAACCCCGATCCCGAGATGAACGCAAGTACCGAGAAACATCGCCGCTCCAAAGGCTCAAAACTCAGCGCCAAACCCCAGAACACAAAAACCACCCAAAATCCCTCCACCCTAAGCAGGTGCATGAGTGGGACAGTGACGACGAGACCGTTGAAGATACTGGAGGGTGTCTATCAGCCCGAGGCCCTCACCTGTATGGTGTCCTTCTAATAAAGACCTGCAATCACAAGTTGTTTACTGTGTTTTTTGAGGGGTCTTCTAGGAATTTTCTGGATTGTTTGGTTTGGACAAGTTTAAGAATCAGTAGGACTTGTGTGAAAGTACTTGCTAATAGTTTTTGAATTGCTTCTCGAGGCTGTAGTTTTAAACTGCGTTCTCCTTGGGATAGTTAAGATTAGGCTTTCACCAAGTAGTGCCCTTGCTTTGCGTTGCGAGCCTCATGTAGGCAAAACGGGATTACGTAGGTTTCTTGGAATTTGGGGGGATGTGGGGTTTCGGATTTATATTCAGGGTTCAGGGACTCAGGGTTTGCTTGAAGCTTCGGAGCTTCATGTTTAAATAGAAGTAAGCCCCGCGTTGTACTGACAGGAGCTCGGACACAAGTGCCCGATCCAGAAGAGATGGAGAATGCTGCGCCGCTGGGCTGCACCTGGAGGTTCATGGGCAAAAAGCTTGCTCCCTGCACTGACTGTCTCCCAACATCCCCTAACCAGAGAGAACCCGACACCCCTTAGGAATGGTCCTCCAGACACAATCAAAAAACCAGTTGAATTCACTACTTTCCTGAATGCTGAACTTAAAGGGTATATTGGGCTCACTTTGGGCCGGTCTTTGCAAAACATGCGCAGTTTTCTGGTGTTTGCAGAGTGATATTGTGATTTCATATTGCGTCTCTCCCTAAGCCCTTAACTTTCAAGCTTCGAGCATGAGGCCTCAATTCCAAACCCTACTGCTCCAACCCCGGAAAGTCTTGCAGCCACAATCGAACACCACGAGGCCCTCGTTCCCCAAACCTTACGTGGATGCACCTGAGCGTTTTCTCAATATCGGACCAGGCGCTCCATGGCGGCGGCTTGGCCTCTGGCCTGGGCGGCCGTTGCCTCCAGCTGGGCCTCCTCGAGGACGGGTGGTATTACACAAACATAAAAGCTTTTGGGCGGGTGTCCCGGGTCTATTGGCTTTTTGAAGAGAGGGTCATGAGATATCTTAACTGCTTGTTTTCAAACAGTGTGACATTAACGAGGATCTGCTTAGTGTTTGTGATCACGTCCGAGGTTCATTGCACAGTCCCGCTGCAGCTTCGTCTTCTGTGGCCACCGAAGTCAATGTTAAGATTCAAAACTTTGAACCGTTCTCCCGCCACAGTCCCGTGCTCATCTTTGCGTTCTCATCATTCGAAGTCCGTGAAGTTTTCAAGGCCACACTATTCGCCTCCTTTGAGCTCCGTGGGCGCTTCCTAAGGGGTCTTGGGATCCTGAAGTTCGCGAGCGAAAATCGACATGTCGACAACCCCAACTCCAAAAGCCCCACAACCCTTGAACTCCCTCACGGATTCACCCGGACCCGGAGCAATCCTCTCTGCTAGGTTTTTAGACCTCGTCGAGACGATGTCGCCGGCAGGCCGGGAACAACCAAGTTCTCAGCTCTTGTCAACTTCAGACGTTGGGGTTATCGAGTTTCCATGCTCTTGGTTTTTGGTTGTGTTCTTTAATCACAGCTCACCCCAGTAGGAATTTCATAGTACTTGTTTGGACCTTTTTATTTTTGAGGGTTCCCTGTCCAAGAAAGCAGAATACAGACTAGCAACAGCAATCATATTTGGGCTACTAGAGAGACCGTCTTACGAGAACCATCTGTCGGAAAAGAAGTCTTGCCACGTATGCATCTCCTAGTTTTGGTTACCGGTGTTGAGATGGCCGTGCGGAGAGTTCTGTGAACAAGCAGGACTGCGGTAGCACAATCCTTTTCCTACTTTTCTACGGGGAACCTGGAACTATGAAGTCTGTTTCGAGATAGGATCTCGACCGTCCGAACCGTGCACCAGGAAAGCGACGGTTGAATCAGCACCTGCAGTCATTGGGCAGCACCTGTTGCAGGGTTTAGCTTGCTTCCGTTAGTTTGGGCCGGTTGAGGGTATCCTAGGCCCTGTGGCCTCTTCTAGACTGGGTCAACGCTGCGGGGACTCTTCGGAGGCTCCCTCTGCGAAACTATGACCACGTTCTTTTGCCCTGTAAAGCCTCCGTAAATCCCAAAGACTAAACCCCGAAACCCCCAAACCTCAATCCAAAATCCTACACCATCTAGACCTTAAAACACTCAGCCCTTACTCCTCCCCCTAGACCGGATCGCAGCGGGCCTCCGGCCGAAGGGACAGGTGTTTGTCAAGAGCACAATCACAATCATCCTAGTAAGTTTCTGCTACGAAGGAAAATGACCATAGTCAGCATAGCGGTCGTTTAGACAATCATATTGAGGAAAATTCACAAGCGCATACTCAAAAGAGGTCAGCAGGCCCGACACTCCACGCCCCTTAGCCCTACATTCTTGAAAGCCTCTAAGCTCCTTGAAACCTCGGCCCATGTAGAACGAGAGTAGCCACCAAGGTCAGACTACGTCTTTCAGGACGAGGACTGCCAGACACTACCAGAGAGCTTATGGACGACGGGATGTAGCTACGTATGTATGAAGGGGTTCTTCGCACGGGGTTTAAACATGGCTTTGCAGAGGGTGTTTTGACAAAGTGTTGTAAAGCTTTCCAGGCTTCTGCACAGGCGTGTAAGTTGTGTTTCAGGGTTTTGGGTTGAAGGTTTTAGGCTTAAGAGCTTCGCTTGTCGAGGTAGCATGGGGAATCAAGGCACCATTGGGTCTCGGGAAATGCAGGATCGACCCTACACCTCAGAACAAGCCCTGAATGTCCGAAACCAGCTCCGAATGCAAGCCCAAACCCTAAACCCTGGAGCCTTCAAAGAAAAGACCTAGGCGCCGTCTGCGGGAAAAGAACCTTGTGCACTGCATCGCAACATGTTGGGGTGTGGGCATGTTGTGGCCCTCCCATTCCCGCCTGAGGTAAAGCTTTCGTTAGCTTGTTGGGTTCTAAAGGGCCTTATGGGGTATCTGGGGTCTTTGGATATTTATATGGGTTTCGGGTTGTTGAGGGTAGGTTCCAAGTCTATGGGTTTGGGATTCGGGCTTAGGGTTGTTTAGGGTTGGGTTTGGGAAATTACAGTCTACAGCCTACAGTATTTCTCACTTGGTGAAGCCTCACAGAAGTCACATCACCCTCGTGCAGGAGCAAGCTGCGAAGGGGAAGGCATTGGAGGCATCCCTGGTGCGGCAGCAGGACGCCTTACCCCGAAGCCCAAACGCCGTCCTAAGCCCCAACCCCTGCCATGAGTCGGAATCCATGCGTTGGATCCCGTACCCAACATCCCAGAAACTTCGAGCCTCGGACCCTAAAACCCTAAAGCCCCCAAGCCGTAAACTCTCAGCCCTCGACATACCTATGTAGCTCCATGAAGTACTTGAAAACCGTATGAGGTCTTACCGAATATACATTTGTATGGCGCCTCCCATGTACTGATTACAGCATATTATATCATATCATATACATGTATGTATATATGTCTTTATGTATTTTGTATTTATTTATGTTTGCATTTAATCATTGAAACTTAAGTCGGTGTCGAAACTCACATTGCGTTATTTAGACTTCGTTGCTTATTTATTTGTTTCATGACTGACTCAGTTTCACAGACTAAACCCCCTCACACCACTACCCCCTCCCCTGCAAGAGAACAAGAAACAGCCGAACTTGCGATGAAGGGCTCGGTGAGAGCGGCCGAAAGCCAAGCCCAGCGGTGCCGGGAGCTCCTGCCGAGACCAAGGCGCAAGAGCATAGGGCTCTTTTGCGGTGTAGGGGTGAGGGTTTATGGCTTTAGGGCTGGGGCTATTGATGCTATAAGGGGTGCAAAGGCTCTTTGCACAAGACTGAGACCATTCTCGAGTGGTTTAGGTTTTTGTCTTGAGCGTGTGGCCTGTAGCTTGCTTCAAGGGCTTGGGGCTTATAGGGGTTGGACGAGGAGCTCGTGGGCTACAGGGGTTTCCGGGAGTGTTTTATAGCCACTATCTATACCATGGTTTCAACATTTAGGGCTTGGGGATTTAATGGGTCTGGGACTCAAGGTTTAGGTGTTCCGGGCTACGGGTATAAGGCTTGGGGATGCTCGCGACATAGGGCTGAAGGTCTTGGGCCAGCAAGGGTTTATCAATGGCGACAAGCGATACTGGGATTTCAGATCAGAAGATGCGGAGCTGCAATATCAAACTCCCCAACTTTAGAGGGGCTTGAGAGAAATGCTAACCAAGGAATATACCTCAAATCAGGAGCCATCCCAAGGAGCTTCCTTCAGGGATAAGTTGGCTTCACATTCCCCATACAACTTGTATACACCTAGCGGACCTAGCATACAAGCCCTGTAGATCCTCACGCACCAGACTTGCATGGCTCCTGGCTGTGAAGCTCGCTAGATTTAGGGGGCGCATCAGCAACTTAGTTCTGCAGGGTAGCGCATGGACTCTCAACCTGTCTTACTCATCATGCCCAGGCACGATTCCCTTCAAGCCGCATGAGGTAGGATGTAGATAGGCTTCCACAGGAATGCGAGCATATTGAAGCCTAGAGACACCCGGCACCGTATCGTCGTTTAACATAGACAAGTACGCCACCACCTTTAGAGAAACTCTGAATCCAGCGTCATAGACCTAGCATCATACAACCTGTCCACCCCGTAGAAGCAACTCATACAGGCATGACAGACACGTGGGTGAGCCAAGCCTGTAGCATCAGCGCAGCCCCTAACCCTTCGAGCTTACCCTAAACCAAAGCCGTAAGCCCTACTACACCCGAAGTTCTAGTTCGAGGCCACAGAACCGCACAAACATAGGCTATTGACTTGGTGGTCCTTTTCAAGGTCTGGGTTCACGTGCTTCTCGGGGCTTTTACAGCGTCCATCCTGAGCCCGAATAGCCAGGTCGTAAGCCTACAGCCCAAAATCTGTTTCAAGGCGATTGCAGCCACCCGGCCAGCCCCTCAGAGCCAACGCCCTTAGGATCCTTACGAGGCTTTCGAGCTTAGGGTGTTGGACTTCAGGTTTGGGCATCCGTTTAGAGGGTTAGGGACATGGGATGGGTACTGCGACCTGGGTTGCAGGGCGCTAAAACTGTTGCGGGTCATGGTAGGTAAGTCAGCGAGGAGTAATATCACTAAACTGTTCAGGCCCCTTGTTGGCCGGTTTAGGACTTCGTGGTTACACGTTTTTTGGTCTGTATGTTCTGAAGCGTGAGGCCTTCTTTGTGATTGTGTAGACTTGTTGATGAGGCTTTCGCGGCTTGCTATTTGGCTTGAAATAGATTCACATGGTCTTCTCGTGGTCCACGGTTTCGGCCCCTCCAGATGCTTCTGCAACATTACTGGTCGGAGTCGTCAAGATGTTGGGATGAGGTGAACTAGCAATCAAATACACAGCATACAATACAGCGATCCTGAGCTGCGACACCACATATTGTCACATTGTCACCGGGACCATTTCTTAGTTCCCCCGACACTAGATAGGGCTCCAAGTTCAGGAAGGTTCGAATGGATAGCCACGTCATCCAACTGATTCTCCCAGGCTGCAGGATGCAGATGACTTCACAGCTATACTGTATGGTTTCTCATAGTGTTTAGGCCTCAAGCGGTAAGTCTATGGTATAACATTCTAAGCCAAGTGCCGCTGAAAGCTTGAGGATTTCTCGCAAAAATATGCCCAGTCCTTAATCTGAGCTCCAAGACCAACGGTGGAACCTTGATGGCCAGCAACACACCGGTCTATACGCAAATTGGTAAAAGTCCTTGGTACCGAGATCGGCCCGAATATGCTAAACCCAAAATCCTATGACTATATCCCTAGAGGCCAGAAGAGACTTTCAGACCCAAAAGGCCCTACCGCGAAACCCCCTTACATCCCTCACACCCCAGGAGCCCTAAGTGCTTTTCCCAGGCGAGCCGGCTGCAATGGTCAACCAACTAGCAAGCCCTAGTTCGAGCAGAACGAACCTTGGCCTAGTCAGGAGGGTTTGTTTCTATGGGAATTGTATAATTAAGGGTGTTCAAGGTGTTTGAGGGGTTGCAGAGGAGTTCTTCTGTAGTCAGGGCTTGTTGTAATATGTTACTAGCCTAAAACTGACGCCGTTGAGTTCTTAACGCATTAGAGAGGCAAAGATACCAATAATTCGAGGTTTCTGTGAGGTGTGAAGTTACTTTTCCAAGAGACTCTGTTGAGTAGTCTGATCAGCCAGTTGGCGAAGAACCTTCGCAGTATGTTCCACAGTGCCCTGCCTCCATGACGCTCCGCTCCATGTGCTTGTTCTGTTCTCTGCTGTTCCTTGCAACTGCTGCCGACTACGAACATCCATTCATTCTGACCGCCATGCTTAGCAGCCCTAGTCGAATCACGAGGAGTTCCCCCAGCTGCCGACCGCCTCCGGCAGTCTCCCCCGGCGCTGCCAAAGCCATGCACGGAGCCCTGGAGGGTGTTCGTATTCAGGCCTGGTCGGGTTTGTACCGAGTCTCAAGTTGATGAAGCCGTCCATATTTTGGGTGCAACTTGAGCAGTCCCTTGAGCCGTAAAAGTTTCTTTACCCTCATTCGCTGCCGGGGCTTGGGGTTGCGGTCGACTTCGAAGCCTGCTCAGGTTCGACGTTGCCGAGGAGAACATCGCCTATGCGCTTGAGGCCCAGCACCATCGAACCCCGAGATCGCCTGGGGCCAGTTCTAAGTCAGAAATGCCCCCTCAAATTTGAATTCCGCGAAACCCATACTGTCAGGCCCTCATGCCTTAGACCTTTAAACCCTATGCAAAGTACGAAACCCTAGAGACCAAGGGTGTAGGATTAAGCACCCTAAACCATTGGGGTTACGGAATTAAAGTTACAGGATCCAGGGTTTAGGATTTTCGCGTTTGTTGCGAATTCCCGGCGCCCATTTGCCTGGAGGACGCTTTGTCTACAGCGGCCGAGCAAACATCCAGGCTCTTCGACTGTCGTCAAAACTTATCAGGTTTGAAATGGGCCGTGCAATTAGCGTGTTTAGAGCTGGTTCTTGAGTTTTCGTTCCAATTTTGGGCGGGGTTTAGCTCTGCGGCTTTCGTTCTATGAGGCTTTGTACAGGGGTACTTGTAAAGCCAGCGCGCAGGGTTTCAAAGGGGTTTCTTGAGGCACAGGGAGCTCTCTCTGCAGAGCCCTGCAACATCTTGCCGTCAACCTTCAGAGAGGTCGCTTACGAGTTAGGTCCGCTTGAGGGTACAGAGTACAGAATGTATAAATCTGTGGAGGTTCATGGTTCTGTTTCATGAACTCGAGTCGGGCCAGAGCCCTAAACAGGGACTATAGCTGCCAGAGCTTGCTGTCGACTCTCAGCTGTCTCACAGCGGCCGGGCTCAACCATGGATCCGCCGTCACCTCATAGTCCTCAGCGGTAAACTACAAACCCTTGATGTCGTGAGCCCTCCCTCGCTCAAGCCCCTGCAGGCCGTCCTCTCCGGCCGCGACGATGTTAGCTGGCATTCAGGTGCCGAACAGAGTTGTGGGAG